AATTTAATGTTCCGTTTCCATTGGAAGTAGAGTACTTATAAATCGAAGTAGAAGTGAAATGAGCGCAATTTTATGCGTTTCCATCGATTTAAATTTGATTCTACGCCGCATTAGGTGTGAATTAATGTTTCGGTGGAAACTAGACCACTGTGTAACACAGTGTCCATTAGTGTGAGTGAGACACACTAATATGCTCTTTCTCATACTAATAGACACAGTGTTACACAGTGGCTGCTTTCCTTTTAGAAGACACAGTCGACACAAGTCGACACAAGAGTCATTCTGTCTTTGTTCGGTATTCAGTGAGAAACAAAGACAGAATGACTTTTGTGTCGACTTGTGTCGACTGTGTCTCCTAAAAGGAAAGCAGCCAGTATCACCTGTGTACGTAGTTGGAAAGCACCTTTTATTTTTTTTACTCTAAAGGTGTATTTTCACGTGCCGCTACAATTGGGTGCGTTAAGACAACTCAACGGTTGAGAGATCATCACTTATGATAGGACTATTCTTCCAAATCTGCTTCTGTTCCAAAAGTACGATCCAATCAGAAGTGATTATCTCTCAATCGTTGTGCAATTTGTTGAGTTGTCTGAACGCACCCATTGATCGTTCGAGCAGAGAGGTCTGAGGCAGTGATGTAAGATCTTGCCATATATATAATACTTCTATGTTGCTAGTCGCGTATCTTTCCAATGAGAGGCACGAGGCCCGAGAAAGAGAGACGCACGAAGTCCAAATATGGGGATAGATAGTCGAGCGTCATTATGCGCAGGCGCGTCTACTAAGCGAGTGCGAGCGAGACAAAGCATTGGAAAGAACGCGAGAAAGAGAAACGCCCAAACGTGCTTGAATGTTCACCGCATGCGCACAAAGCAGCTGGAGAGAGAGGCTACTATATTGTCTGCACCGTAACATTTGGATTTCAGGTCGGCACCGTACTAGCAATATAGAAGTATTATATATATGGATCTTGCAGGCTAGCACCAAGAGCACCGAGGTAGTGGGAGCCACTGGGAGCACGCATACAAGCGAGAACCGTCGGCCGTGTGCGTGACGTCACGCTCGGCTGTTCGGCTCGTGAAAGAGCGCAGACATACTATGTTCTGCCTCGCTTCCACCAAGCTCGCTACGCGAGCAAGACACTGAGGCTAGAAAGCAATATTTTGTTACGCGCTTGTAGCCTATGACAATATGACAACGAAAAATGCTTTTTCATGACTTACAATCTTAGAAAAAGTAGATAATATTATTGATAAGGATGAGTTAAACATCTCAAGATGCATTTGTTATTACATTTTTATTATTTCTCATTAAAAGTTAACTGCCATAATTTTAAAGTTTTTAGATAATTTTTAGATTATTGAAAAACATTTAATATATATATATAAACTATATTATTAGTATTACTAATTTTTCTATATTTTTAACTTGTAAATCACGAAAAGAATCTACATTTTACAGATGTACAATCCTAAAGTATTTAATTTATGTGAATATAATATATTAATTGAAATTTGTATAATATGAACTAAATATTTTGAGATTATATGTTTGAAAAATGTAGATTCTCTTTTTCTTGTCATAATTTACAAAACGAAAATATATATAAAAAAAAGAACACTAATAACTTTCAATATTCAAAAAACTTTTTAATTCTTTCAGTTAACTCGTATGTAATAATTTCTAAAAAAGTATAATGCATCTTGAGATGTTTTACTAACATCAATAATATTATCTACTTTTTCTAAGATTGTAAGTCATGAAAAAGCATTTTTCGTTGTCATATTGTCATAGGCTACAAGCGCGTAACAAAACATTGCTTTCTAGCCTCAGTGTCTTGCTCGCGTAGCGGGCTTGGTGGAAGCGAGGCAGAACATAGTATGTCTGCGCTCTTTCACAAGCCAAACAGCCGAGCGTGACGTCACGCACACGGACGGCGGTTCTTGCTTGTATGCGTGCTCTCAGTGGCTCCCATCACCTCGGTGCTCTTGGTGCTAGCTAGAGTCCCTGTAGTATGAGTCTGGACACAGTTGTCTTCAATCTTATTGGTTGTGACAAAATATGGCGGAACCAATAAGATATCTTAAATTTATACTTCACGCGCGATATTATTCAATAGGGGGTTGAGCAGAATAGAAAAATTATTAAGAATAGAAATTAAAAACAGAGGTTAAATGTAATGCACAATCCAAAAAATAAAATATAACATAAATGTATATAAATATAGGCTGTATATCATGCAACCATGACATACTTCCTGTATTTATATATTATATTTTATTTTTTGTCATTGTATAGTACATTTAACTTTTATTTCTAATTCTTATTCCTAATATTTTCTCTATTGTGCTCAGGCTATAAGAATAGAATATAAGACAATATAAGAAGATAAATTTGTTATTACGGTTTATTTTATATAAAATTTAATTTCATATAAAAATACAATGAAATACAAGTATATGCACACAATAAACACAAAAATACAAATATTATTAATAGTAAAATAATATTTAATAACAATAAAAATATTATTTAAAATATTATTTAATATTACTTTTTTATTTATTTTATAATAGCATGTCGTGCCATAGTTTTACTATTATAAATTTTATTTTTTAATTTACCTTTCTTACAATTAATTTTTATTCGAAGTGAAATGTACTTACATATATTTTCTGTCTTTGCGATGCTTACTCGTAACGTGAATCGATAGTTTCTTGATCGTTTCCGACGCCATGTTTTGTCAAATTCCTAACTGTGTCCAGACTCATACTATAGGGACTCTAGTGCTAGCCTGCAAGATCTTACATCACTGGTCTGAGGTCCAAATTTACAGTCATTTCTCAAATCTTAGATCTCGCCTCTAATCTTAAATTTCAGCTCAGATTTCGAATCTCTATAGAGCTTATACTTATCAGAGTTGCAAGATCGAGCAGAGAGCAACGAGAGCATCGAGCGGTGGGGGCACGCACACAGACGGTGGTTCTGGCTTGTGTGCGTGCCCCCACCGCTCGATGCTCTCGTTGCTCTCTGCTCGATTTTGCAACTCTGATGAGTCACGCACTTAATTCACACCTAATGCGGTGTAGAATCAAATTTAAGTGGATGGAAACGCGTCAAATTGCGCTCATTTTACTTCCACTTCGATCTATAAGGTTTATCGGAGTGGCAGCACATTGACGTAAAGTTTTAATAGGTGGAAACGTTTGAAACTAAATAATGCCAAC